AATTGAAAGAGGAATTTTTATTTTAATTTTTTTTAAAAAAGTTATAACGATTTTAAGCTACTATATAAAAAGTGGATGTCTTATCCTGTCCCGAACTGTATATTGTTAATAATAATAAAAAATATATAATTGTTCTAAAAATATGCTGCATATTAAACCCTTTTTGTATTTACAACAAACAAGAATAAGGGAGATCATAACCAAAGATCTTAAAAATTCATAAAAATATTATGGGACTTTTGTTTTTTCGATTAACACCTGAGCGACCACATATTCTCCGTCGTGTGCTACTGAAGCGTGAGTTTTTGAAATGGTCATGTTGTTTCCAAAATCCTCATGTGCGTTAATAGTTATGTGAGGTTTTCCTATTTGATAAATAATTATATGATTATCATTATCACATACGTACTATATATTGTCATAAATAGAAGTCAAAAATTTCGAGAGTAAACCATCTATCCTAATATTAATAAAAATTATGACAATACTAAGATCAGGGTTTTGAATAGACAATAGACAAGCCAATAGACTCAATGGACAGTCTAATGGTCTAATAATGTTACAATAGACAAATAAATATATAGTTCAAAGTAATCTGATTGGTTAATTTTGAATATCATAAACTGGCTAATATAAGTACTGGATAGAGTTATTAGACAAACAGATATTAGACAGACAATTAGACAATAAGATTTTTGATAATTATGGGTGCTCTCAAGCATCTAAATCAATAGGTCTGAGTTCAATTTTTAATTAGTGGAAAATAAATTATTCGGTCAAGCGAGTTCATTATCGCGATGAAAAAAAAGATGGCCAGAGACCATCTTTTTTTTTATTATAGAGTTGTGCTGATTGGCTAAAATTTAATATTCGCGTTTCGTAACGTGAATCTTTGACAAAATTGCCGTAAGGTTTACTTCAATTAATCGCAGTACTTGTGCACGATCTCTATAGCTAGTTAATTACAATGAGAGAGATGCTTGGGGGCACCCTATGTTTATTCACATTCCCGGGCGGCATCAATAATTTACGTTAAACCAGTACTGTATTGTATAAAAACAGACCTTGAAGGTAATACCATATCGATATGGTGTTATTTTTGTACTATCTTTACGATCCCTATAACAATACTGATTTAACGTAAATTATAGATGCTGCCCTACTAAGATAGACGATTTACTCTTGAAATGTTACTTTCCGAAACAATACTCCGAGGCATTATTTTAAATAATACAAAGGTAGAATTAAAAAAAATCAATAGGATATGAGAAAATATACGAACCTTTTGTTTTTTTGATAGAAATATCTTTCCACGTTACAATATGGTGAGGATATAATGCTTTATACGTAGCTTCTTTCAAAGTCCACCTTTTGGAAAAGAGAAATTAAAAATAGGTCCTTTAATTAGTACCAAAATATTATAATAACCTGACACCCAAATAAGATACGATGTTATGTTCTATTGTCAAATGATTATCGCGGCTGTTTAGAATTGATAAAAATGTATAATGAAATTCTTTTGCTTCATCGGCAGTTAGTATTCGAGATGTAAATCTTTTAAGAGAAAATGGGGTGCGGGAAAGGAGAGCTTTGAGACGTGGAAGGTGAATAATGTCGATGCCTATTCCTAATATCATTATAGAACTAATTACCAGCATTATTATTTATCATTATATAATGTATCTATATACGTGCGTACGTGATTGTGGGACAGCGAATACCAAAATATTAAATAAAAGAAGGCATCTCTAACATCATTATCAAAAGCATATATTTTGTGTAATGACAAATTGAATGTTTCGTTCACACTATTTTCTAAATCAATTTTTTCCCATTCAATTATTTATCCATGAAACTGTATGGTCCACACAGAGATATTTTTACGTACGTAAGTACGTACTTTTTTTTTATGTGATGCACATTTAGAAACAACTGATGTTAACTCTGTGGGTGCAGGATGTCGTTCTTAGTGATGGATCGGTCTTCGTAAAGACCGGTAACGGACCGAGGACCGAATGATTTTCAGTCTTCCGGTTCAAACATTGGTTCTAGCTGATAAAAAGAAATGATGGATCATTGCTCATTACGAAATAACAACACAGTTACTTCTGACATCCCTTCTATTTTTCCACCTTTTCTATTCCTCCCACATATTCTATTTCTTCTACCTAAACCATTTATCTACTCCTTTCATTCAGTCTATCGTATCTATTTCTATTACCTTTAACGTTTCTTATTCTTTTTACATTACCAGCAAATTAATCTACGAAATAAACTAGAAAAGTATTTATTATTGCCATTGGAGAATAAGTCGAACCATTAACACTATTTCAATTACAAGGGGCTATTTTATTTATACAAATCACCGGTGTGTTTCAGAGCAAGCGCTCTTCGTAGCCGGTTACTATTTCATCCAAAAGGAATAGATTAGACGATGAATCTGCGAGGGCAATTCAGCGCAAAAAAACGTTGGTTTCAAAAAGAAATTTGCAATTTAGACTACTATAATCATTTTATTACATTAAATTATCTTTATTAAATTAGATAAAAAAAAACCCCATTTTAACATGAATATTTAACATTATGCATAATTATAAAAATTTGGCTGCTAATAATTCCAAAATATTTCATTTTAATAATGTGTATGTTTTGAACTTAAATTGATAAAAAAAAAATTCTTATTATCGTAGGACACCAAATGACGGACCGACCGACAATTAATACTATTAAATCGGTCCTACAGGAACCTGAGACCGACCGATCCATCCATCACTAGTCGTTCTGGTGCATCGTGCTTAAGGTAAAGGTACTAATTTATCAAGATTTCCGGAACTTTAGATGCTGATAACACTACATACATACTCGTACGATACGTATACAATGATGTAAAAACTATTTTTTTTACTTTGTCCGAAAGTATTTCTGCATTACCAAATGCCAAAATATTTTCGGCAATTTCATATTAGAAATCAAATGAATACGAATACTTTGGATAGGCAAACCAAGCATGAATACGTATCACTTCACAGAAAATTATTTTGCAGACATCTTGGTTTGCAAAAATTTTGTAAAAAAAAGGAAATCACTAAGAAATCGCTCGATTATTAGGTGTAGGGGGATGTTAAAAGCCCAGTTCAGTTTGGCTTGGTCTATATTTAGCCCAGTTCAGTCTGGTCTTTTTAGGTTTAATTACAGTTCAGTTCTAAGACTGTTTAGTCTGAATTCATAATAGAAGACTGGTTTAAAACCAACCTGTGGTCCAGACCTTCAGTTCGAGTCTTTATAACATATATAAGAACCAGTCCAGAACTGGTCTAAATAAATAAATCTTGAAATCATAATTCTGTAATTTGAATCATCGTTTTGTAACCAGTCTTAAGGCTGGTTTAAGATCACAGTCTGAACTATTTAAGACTGAAACCCACATCCCTAGATTAATCGATTCGTCAATTGGTCAATTAATCGACTAGTCGATTAATCAACTGATCATTTAAAAATGTCAATCCGACTGTTTCAGTTGCTACTTTACGTGTATTTTACCAAGTTTAATTTATTGCGGTTTGTAAATTCTGCAGATCATCAAAAAAAAACAATAATTGATTATGATTAATGATTATTGATTATGATTAATGATTAGTGATTTCTGATTTTTAATTTTTTATATATATTTTTTTTAAGCTTTAGATTAAACTTTAATATTATGTAAATTTTTATAAACGACATAATAAACTCTAATTTTACTATTAATATATTTATTGTATTTATCAAACTTTATACGTATTTATTTTTTTATTATAGTTTTAAAATGCCTTCTGCCTTTAGTAAAGATCTTTGCTGGCGAATTGTATATCTTAATTATGATGGTTATAGTAGAAAACAAATCGCAGAATTATTGCATATTAGTAAGCCAATGGTATCAAAAGTTATGAAAATATATAATAAATAGAATTGTGTTGTTAATCTATTTACAGCAAGCCATGGTAGATATAAAATTTTTAATTCAAATGATATGCAAGTAAATATATTTTAATTATTATCTTTTTTATTTTTTCAAATTAATAATTTTTTAATTAATCATTTAGATATTATCTTCTTTAATTCAAAATAAAGCTAATTGATTTTTAGATAAATTAGTAAATGAAATAAAAATTTATACTGAAAAAAAGTATCTATTTCTATATTTTGAAGATTTTTAAAATTTTATAGAATGAATAACTCTTTCCGTCAATCACTTACACAAAACTTAACTAAAAA